AATTGTCAGGCCGGTAGATTGGAAATCTATTCCATCCTGCCACAAGTTCAGAGATCTCAAGCCACTCTTATTGCCTTTAACATATTAGCTTAATGGCTGTGGGATGCTCTAGCCTCTGTGGTGAATGGCTTCTATCTAAATAACAATAGACTTGGGCCCAGGCGAGTTTACACTAATCCTGAAGGTTAGGAAATATGTGCGGCTATGGAGCACCTGACGCCAGCTACAGAGTGTCTTTAGGATTAAGGGTTAGTAATTGCTATTTGCCCTTTACACATGATAATGAAATCTTCTGCCATTGTTCCCACCTTTGGATGGTTACTTAAGATGATGCATGAATAAACTGGGTACATTCAGAATTAACTGATTCTGCCCGCCTGATATTATCCCATGTCTCCATCTTTCCTCTAACACCGATAGCTAGCCTTCCCTCATCCACACTCCCCCACTCAGGAACGAACCTGGGGCTGTTCGGCTGGTCCCTGATCACAGCCTTGTAAACACCGGTCCATAACATATGGCCCCACAACGTGGGGCTAATACAGATGGTCCATGACAAACAGTGTAGCTGGCCTCAAACTCATGGCTTACCCCCTGCCTTAGCCTCCTGAGTGATGCATCACCCTGTCCAGCTTCATGCCGTTCCTTTTCTAGGCCCCAGAGTTAAACACAACCATAATGAAAACACTTGAGACACAACACATAGATTCAAAGACACTGTCTTTGACAGCTTAGGTGTTTACCAGAAATACAATTTGTGCGATTAAGGGATCAAATGGAGAAGAGAGAAAGAAAGGGTCATAGACAGGAGTGTGTGTGTGGTCAGTGTGAGGACGAGGAAGCGGGACAGTGGAAGGGTTATCAGAGCCCTGCACCTCCTGTCATACCTACCCCTGAGGCCAAGATGATGGTGACAGTGACAAACTGATGTTACTTCTCAAAAAAGACCACATGCTTTCTTCAAGCTGAATGCTTGGAGCTTGCTGCTCCTCTGTTACTGGTCAAGATGGTATCACTGGGACATCTCAACACTCCCAAAGGACTTGGGACCAACGATTCCCCAGAACTTTACTTCTTTATAACAGAATACCTGATTAACAACAATGGTTTGAGAAGGGATACAGTCCATCATAGCAGGAAAGGGAAGGCTGCAGGACTGTGAGCTGCCTGGGCGCGTTGCATCCATAGTCTAGAAGCAGAGAGTTGGTGGAAGTCTGTACCATAACAATGGCAGGGCTAGCTGGGTGTGGTGGCACATGCTTTTGATCCCAGCACCTGAGAGGCAAAGGCAGGTGGATCTCTGAGCTTGGTCTACAGAGAAACCCTGTCTTGAAAAAACAAACAAACAAACAAAGAATCCCAGGGCTTGGGGAATATTTAAGGGGGCGAAGCACTTGCTACACAGGATCCCCCAAACCCATGTAACTCTGGCTGTGGTAGCACAGCCTGTGATCCCAGTGCTCCTACAGTTAGATAGGAAGCAGAGACAGGAGAGTTCCCACAAGTTTACAAGCCAGATAATCTGGTATATGCGGTGGTGAACAGCAAGAGACACTCCCTCAAAGATGGTAAAAGGTAAAGTCTAACTCCTAAGATTGTCCTCTGACCTCTGCACACTCGCACACAAACATGAGCGTGAACACATACACCCCAACAAGAGCAAAAGCCCTCAAAGCTCACCCCCATGACCCCCCTCCATGGAGGTCTCACCTCGCAAGGTTTCACAACCTTCTGTGGATCATGTATTCCCACACATGAACCTCCAGGGACATTTCACATTCAAATTCACATCAGCCAGCTTTTATCTCCCCCCACCCCAGCTTCTTCACCAATTCCTCTTTTCTTCCTTGGTCTCCAGCCACTCTCAACCTATGTCACCAGGTAGAACCATAGGATGACCTGGCTGCTGACCCCAGGTTTTGGGAGGAAGTTTATGACATAGTATACGGGAATGACCATATCAGCTCCTGGACCCTGGAACTGAGGACCAATGCTCAGATTTAAAACCAGGGTGCTGATGTCCATAGGGAATTAACCTCCCGAGATCAAACCCAGCATTCACTACCACAGGGCAAGCCAGACAGATACCCTGTCCTGGTGCCTCCTGGCGCTGAAGTTCCAGGACACAAGCCATTCTACCCCACATGGATGCATACTCAGAAGCTTTTGTACTTTAGCCCAAATGCAGCTTGTATGTTCTCTGGCCTGCCAGCTCTCTCCTCTCCCTCTCCATTGATCCTAGAACCCAAAGTTCTCAAGCTGTTTGCTCTTCAGTTACCCTGAGACTATGGTACTTAGGATGACAACTGAGGATAAACATTTTCCATGTGTATGCTGTCAGAGCCCAATTCACAAAGAACAGACTAAGAATGTGGCAACTGATATCTATGTCTACTTCTACATCCACATCTGTATGTCTCTTTTTGTCTGTCTGTCTGTCTCTGTATACATGTTAAGATGGTCCTTCCTGGTTTCTTCCTATAAGAGACACATGACAAGGGGCCCACCCTTACCATAACAAGGCATCTTGTAGGATTCAACTTCTCTATGAACACCCAGGAGGTGTTGTGTGCACCATGGACAGTGGAAGAAGCTGGGGGAAATA